TATAGATACAAGGCGGTCCCAGGGAGGGTTGAGGGAGGGCAGGCCGAGGAAGGACAAATCAGAGGATGAACGGGGGTCACCTGGATGTGAGGGGGGTTTATTCACTCAAACAAAACATCCAGAACTCGTCAATCATGTTCTTGTGAATATCTTTGTAAAGTAAACATGTAGATATCTCAAATATATTTGTTGCAAAAAAACAACTATGAAACTTAGTTTGTACCAATTTTGTGTCGCGTTTCATGCCTAATTAAAATCGGCCACATTTGCTAAATGTATTGTTCTTATGAATTGAGCCCTAATCTAACAGTTTTTATAACAAGTTTATCAATAAAAGTATTTTAAAAGCCATTTGCTTTTGATTCCTATGTGCCCATATGTTAATGCCCTATAGGTCTGTGAATAATTGTAACGAATTAGAATTAGTATTATAATGACTCTAATTTATTATGATTTATCAAGTTATGTTTGAATTTTGATATAGGATAAGCTTTTGATTATAAGTTCTTACTCTGTTTTGGTTTTATTTGAAGGACTTTTTGAAGAAAATAATATCGATCTTTATAAGGTGGGAACTGAAACAAATCAACAAACTTCATCGGGATGAAACATTCTATTTAGGGTAGGCTGTGGATAATCAAACTTATCTCTTCACCCACTCCAGCTCCCCAAAGTAGGCATAATCTTAAAAAGAAGCTAACTTTGAGCCTCGAACTCGTTCCTCTCTCTCTCTCTATCCAAGACGAATGATTGAGTGAATTCGCCTTATTTACTGCTCTATTTCTGGTTCCAAGACATTCATTTAAAAAGATCAATTTGAAGTCATTTCCCTTTTAAGAGCCCAACTGTGTACCAGTCACCGGGTGATAATGTTCTCCCCGTTATAGCCCTCTACTTGTGACTTAGGGTGGTTCCCCGCATGCAGACTAATTGGTTTACAGCTATCCATTTTGTGAATTGAAGATTGGAACGAAACTGACGTTCAGATTCAGGGGTAATATAGCCCCTGAATCACTTTCTAACCAAGGATATTATGCATGCTTAAAGGCGTTGTTTAACAATGTTAAATCAGAGATGCATGGCCCTACCTGTTGCAGTGTCTGTGATATGGTGTAGTATTGAAGCTCTAAAGAAGTATCGCTACAGAATGATCAAGAAGTGCCTCAACAAAGTAAAAATCTTTGAGTGACCAGTTTTACCATACTCATTTTTCCCAATAGACTGTAGTGTTTTAAAAACCGTTAGGAAAACGAATTCTGAAATTTCTTATTCCAATTATAGATATCTTGATCATCAGACAGGCGATTGGCTTGTAAAAGTCATGGGATACATATATGACCTAAAGGTTTATAATTATGATTGCAACATGAGCTAAATCAGAATTTTTTAAAAAGAATCTGAAGCAAAGTTACCCAATCCCTTTAAAGGTTTGTGCCCCCTTTCCTTTAAAATGTCCTGGATATGCCATTTACTTGAAAAAAGGTCTTGTTATTGTCTTTGAATTTCATACATTTTGGAATGTGTTTAAATTGTGGAATCACATGATTTAGTTCCTTAATTTGTCGAAACTGTCTGCAATAGTCTATAAAAGAGATCCATGTATCTTGTACTGCTATAGATAGACATTCGCATGCAAAATAGTTTTCACAGTTTTCTTCAAAAGTCTATAACAGTACCCAAGACTGGTCAATATTCTTGAGCTTTCTTCGCATGACTTGCTGTAGATTGCATTTCATTAATGTTATGTAAAATATCGTTAAAATGTCAAGTTTATTTGTTTTGTTTGGTTGATAATGAAACAAAAATCATTAATGTATACGTGTAGGGGTATTGTGGTCCAGTGGTTAAAAAAAGTCTTGAATAAGTTTTTGTTCTTATCTGTCTGTAAATATTACTATTTTAATTATTAATTTTGTACTCGAGAGCTTTCGTGGGCTATCCTAATCAAGCTGACTTCATTTTGATCTGTTATTCTTATATATTGTTGTATGTTGGAAGCTTGGCGAATGCCTTAAAAGGACGTCACATGTAGCAGTCCACTATGTCGACCTGAAGTCCCTATCATTGCCCTTCTCGACCCATGTCTACGTCGAAAGGAATACCGTCATGTAATAGCAGCCGTGCTAAAGTTGAAAAATATTCATCAGTTATAATCAGAGGAGTCTACTGGATAAGCGATTTTCCCAAGGAAAATTCTTGAAAGCTATGCATTTTCCTTCTATGTACTCACTCCTCAATAGTTGATTTAATTTCTTCCTTTGGAGAGAAGATTATATAAGCTGCATCAAAGGCCGGTGTCAGATCGAGGATGTTCGGTGACAATATGAAGATAATAATCAAAGATTAACTATGTGCAACAGGAAATGATTCATTTTCACTCGTTGTTAGATAAATTTGCTCGATGAAATACAATACTTACTTAAAAAGCAAACACCGACAACAACAACAACAATTACAACAACAAAACGTTTTTGGCGTTCCTGTTTTTTTAGAATTATATTTAAAATTCACCTTTTACTTTATGGCTAATAGAAATGTTTGCATCTGCTTTGCCTTGTTTGATTCCTTCATTTTGCATTAGTAAATACATTATTGTTTTATTTTGAAATAGTGTTGTTCAATGTGAAATGTGAACCAGAAAATGAAAACCGAAAAGGATTAGAAATATAGAGTTTGGATTCATACGAAATACGTGCCGTCATCTTTTGAGTAAGGCAAACGCGGATATTTTCTCCGGCTAAGCTATACTTTAATTTGCAAAATTAGGGGTAAAAATATTCTTATTTCGTCAAAAATCACACACCATTGGGTCTAAAACTGCTAAAAAGTGTACTAATGAATGGAAATACAAAAATTTGGCAATAATAATTGTCATTTAATGTTTCCTATGTTCAGAATGTGAACACATTATAGAATTAATGACTGGATAATATCATTACTGAAGTATGCATATACATAGACAATACAACTAAGATATTACAATATTTATCAAATTCTGACAATTATTTTTAAAGGTTGACAGAATACAACATAGTTAAGCATACTATTGGGTATATACATGTATCACATTCATTTCTATTCAAGTATTTACTATATCCCTTTATAAACATGACAATAATAAATATTTGCTTTGATGGAAACTTCAATCTATCAGCAAATAGCACACCGAGCATTACAGTCCATATTCCGGAAATCTTAAGATTATGTTTCCCTGCCCTCCCCACTTCTTGAACATTGAGTCATATTTGAATCATATCTGGGTGAATAACAGTCTCAATGTCACATCGATTAGTATATGACACATTCTGCTAAGCCCAAGTCCTATCCGGGTTTTTCACATTCATTTTTAAGTAATTAATACAGCTGCGTCTTGGTGTTGACATCCAAGCATGTCCGTTTGGCATTTCATAATTATGCAAATGCATATACAGTCAAATTTGTCTATAGCGACCGCCCAAGGGAAACACAAAAAGTGGCCTTTGTAGACAGGTGGTCTTTGTAGACAGGTTCCTTAAGTACATGTTTCAATGAGAAACCATTTTCAAGGGAAACAAAAATTGTGGTCCTTGTAGACAGGTGGTCTTTGTAGACAGGTGGTCACTAAAGCAGGTTTGACTGTAATTGAAGGTAGAGCCAAAATGCGTGCATCCATGCTAATCTGTCAGTGTCTATACTCATTGTGTTAATCCTTATTTTTTCCGTGGCACAATATGAGTGGTAATTTCTGTATTTGTAAGAACATAGTATAGAAAGTAATGTTTGTTATATTTTCTTTACACTATGGATATTTTCATTTTTGAAAGAGGCATGTGCATGCCCTTGGCCAAATCAAAATATGTTACATACCTGTAGTACTCATCAAATGAATCGTGTTACTGCTTTTTAATTCGTTGTCAGAGAATCTAGAACCATCGCTGTTATAAATTTACAGTCTTTAAGAACATGATTGAAACTAAACATTAGTTTTTCAATTAGCCGGGATGTCATCTACTTCTTGATTACGTAATATTTTATTTTGAATAATTACTTTCTGATTGAAATAATGTTCATAAACAACAGCAGCAACAACAACAAAATTGTTGTCATTATTCATTTTATTCTACGCTGCTTACAATCTGGCGAGCTAATTAATGATGAAGTTGTCACCATACCTATTGACGATGAGCTAACCGCAAACACTAAACAATCCAATCGTTGATCTTTAAAAAGGCTCAATTTGGCATTGTTCCCATTAAGGGGAAAGTCCACCTGATATTCAGTTAGTTTTAATAGAAGCAGTAAAACGAGAGGAACAGGTCATTGAAATTTGAGCAAAAATGTACCAATAACTTTAGAAATGTCTATTTTCCCTAAATGTAAATGTTCAATCGGATTTAATCGGATTTTGTTCAGACTTTTACTAAACAGTTTCTCAAATTTTCTGCTTTTACTTAAACCAACGAAATATTAGGGTAAACTTCCCCTTTAAATATTTCGAAACTGCACCACGGCTGCTCACACCTAAACCTGGCATCAATACATGAATAGATATGAAATCCTGTGTTCAAGGTTAAACATGACTCCACGGAGCATGAGAAAAACAATTGAAATTAGAAAGAAAGAAAGAAATTTGTGGCACGTGTCATTTTGATATTTGCTATTGTATCTGTTCACAACAATATTGTGGAATATAAGTAGTCTTCTCCTTACTTTAACCAATTTGACTGTCTCCTCTGTTCCGTCAAGATTGTTTCAAGGTATTTTGCGGTCTCATAAATGTCACTATCATCAAATATCACTCTATTTTTTTGTAAACAAACAGCGTGTAATATTAATCTCTGTATCAGAAGTAAAAAAAAGGTTCCTTTTTATACTGTCCTCTCTATTAATTTGACGGAAATCCCAGATTTTAAGACCTTTCAAAAATTCACATAGAGGTGTTGATAAATGGAATTATTTTGTTATAACATTTACATTTACATTTATATAAGATTGTTATTTTTTCTTCTCTCACAGACATTTTGACATGGACAGGCAACTTTGGATAAAATTATCGGATACTTCTTGACAACTGTCCACTGAGACTGTCCACAACAGTACAGAAGCTAAACCTGGACCTGAACGTCGTTCTCTTCAAATTTGGAATTCTTACCGATCTACTTTACAATTTGCTCCTTTTTTCGGATCAGCCTTAGCTCTTGTACTTTGGATCATCAGTTCCAACATCAGATCGGGCAGTTTGGATCATCGTTAGTCCATGGACGCAAACCACCTGTGGGATTATCATTGCTACCTCATGTTTTGAAAGCCGACGCGTTTTCAAATATTTTGGCGCCATTTCTTGTGACGTGTCGTCTGCAAGTAATCTGTTGGACACCACCGATTGTTCGGACCACCTTACAGAGATAATCCGATGCTACATTTAAATGTACTGGTCACAAGCCAACCGGTTATTGTATCTCTGAAGCTATTGTACGCTTGGTGATTCATCTAAACACCGAGGAAGAGCAGAATTAGAAGTAACAGCAAGTTGAATGAGCTCAATTGGAATAGCTTTTGTTGTGACGAAGCCAAAAGCCGCCAAGTGAATCAAGGTTACAGTGTTTGTAACCGACCAAAAATTTGCTTAAACAAGGTTGTCAAAACCGATGAAAAGTGACGTCGGAACTGAACAATCACTTCTGATCTAATATTTGTGTTACCACATGCACGCGGAGTATCCAGGTAATCCTACCCAGTGGAACATTAAACATGATAATTAACAACTTAATGATCGAACTTCTGGAAATAGAGTGTTTATGAGAGTCTAAACACCAAACCCGTTTCATCTGGATAATACAGTTGTTTGAATCCATTTTAAAGGAAAACACTATTTGGATCGTCAACCAACAGACTGCAGAAGGAAAAGGACGCATTTGGTACTCAGTAACAGTTCTGAGACAACGCGATCAGAAACCAACTAACACGCTCTACTCTTGAAAACTAGTGACTTTACCTGTCATTAGATGCCATGACCCATCACCGAGTCAACATGCAACGAGTCACCAAGAAGCTTCGCCGGATGACGGCCCCGGCATCCATTCAGGTAAACAAACCTACCCCATATCCCAAGGTGTTAACCTACAACCTAAAAATGGACGCATACAATTAATGTTCTAGATTTCTCTGAAAAAGGCTTTTGTTTCTAAACAATGTGCGTTTAGATGCTTTCTGTATAGGTTTCCGTGATGAGTAAATATTCAACAGCCTCGTGAAGTATTTTCAGAAATACTGTCTCTCAGTAATGGCTACCACATGGTGTTACCGAAAGCCTCCAACCGTGAAGACTGTACATTCATTTAGCAAACTGTGACAATTTGTGACACGATCTATATACTACATCCACAAATTAGGGGAATAGTGTATTTTTTAACTCCTGGAACAGCCATGTTAAAAACTTAAATCTTTAAGGAGTGAACAAACGGCGGGGCCTCGCAATTGGTTTCTTTAACGCTAACGACCGGTAATCGTTAATTGTCAAATTTCCTCCCCATTAAAAGCGTTAGGTGTCATTGTTCTGCAGACCACTATTGCGTGTATCAACACCCTTTCCTCTGAAGCTGCGAGTTTTAAATGCATAGAAGTTTGATGCACTAATGGTTATGGTTATGATTCATAAACCGGACAGTCTATTGGGAGTATGTTTATGCTACACATCATGAGGGCGTTACTGAAGGGGATCGTAGAGTAACATAACACCCAGAAGCATTTGTTTACATTATACACATACATTTTGACTGATATTATTGAGTTATCATTTTGTAGATAAATGTTTAAAAAGTCTCATCTCTGTACAAACGAAACTCGCGATGAGTCAATCATACTTCACGTTTGCCAGTTTATATGTTGTTATTTAATAAAAAAGGTACATGCTAGGCTCGAATGAGGTATCATTTTGTTGAACTGTATTTGACAACACATCATTCGTAACAGAACTATTTCTTCTGAGATTCCAACATGTTATAAATGTGTCATTGAACAATGGATTGAAAATTAGTTGCAAAACATACAATGTGTGTCACGATGATATGTGGCACACGCACATTATAAGTTAGATGCTTTGAAGAATGAAAAGGGTATAGTTCGAAAAGAAAGTGGCTTTTTATTCTGTCGCTCTTAAGTGTACTATGTACTCGCCAACATTATATCCGTGCTTATTAGATTTTGAATTTGAGGACAAGTACTGCATGGGAAGTAGAGTGATTTACTTCAATGTCCATCTTTGTTTAAAGGGATCCGGTAACTTTGTTTCAGATTCTGAAACAAAATCCTGGATTTAGCTCATGCTGCAATGATATTTATAAACCTTTAAGTCAGTCAGGAACCCCATGACTTTTAAAAACCGATCGCCTGTCTGATTATCAAGATATTTATGATTGGAAATCGAAACCAAATTTTGCGTTTTTCCTAACGGTTTTCATAACACTACAGTCTATTGGGGAAAACGAGTATGGTAAAACCGCTCGCTCAAAGATTTTTAAAACTTTTTTGAGGCACTTCTTGATCATTTTGAAGCGCGATTTGTTTTTAGGGCCTCAATATTACACCATATCACAGACACTGATTTAACATTTTTAAACGATGCCTTTAAGAAGAGTTCAAAAATATGTTGTTGTCTATCTTTGATTGACCCAATAGAATACAATTAACGAACATGCAGATGCACAATCAACGTCTCTTGACATAATAATATATATCCCACAAAATTACATTCTACATTTAACAAAAAATGAGAGAAAAAAGGGGAAGTGTGACGATGCTTTCGAGGTCGTAAGATATATTATCATCCGGCGACAATTAGTCCGGGGTTTATTTCGTCAAATAGGCCTATATAGTTTTAGGGCTACAGATATAGGCCTCTATAATGTTTGGGCCAATGTTCAAGATAGGATTTTGGTTAGGATATTGACCGCGGAGCTATGTCTCCAGAGCATGCACAACCGCATTTGATGACGCTTAAATTCTTCGTTAATGATACTGACATTAATGATCAAAACATGTTTAAACTAAGCACGTGATTCAATTCAATGTATAAACAAAAGTTATAATCATTATTATAGTCTACAATTGTTAAAATTGAGGAGGTAAAATCTTCAAGTTCATAAACAACGTTTTACTCTTTTAGATCCAGTATCACTTACTGCGAGACCCGTTAATTTCTCATGACTGATGTACTGACACACAACTATTTCAACGGCCTCATTAAAATGAAAGAACACTTTCAAAATGGAATTTGCCCATTTCTGTACTTTCTCCAGTCCCACGAGCCAATTTCCAGCAATCCCCGACCCTTTGCGCCAAAATCGAATTTGAATGAAACAATGTCGGAGAATTTAGTGTCCATAGAAGAAAGGAAAAACTTGGCACCTTCCCTGCCTTTTTATTCAATTGAGTAGAGCAATCAAATTCTATGAGTGTTCGTTGACTGAAGGAGAACATTCAAGAGATTTTTAGTGAGCAAAACTGTACTGTTATGTGATGCTCCTTCCAGTAACAAATCCAGGATTAATTAAATGGAATAAGAGTTTTGAGGCCATTTTCGTTGAATTGAACTGTCGATTGCGGGATAAGTTTTATTATAAATGTCAGACTGTTGTGAATTTACAATATTTGTTGTGGTTTTGGTGATGAAATTGGCTTTTAATTTGGATTAAATCTGACCATGGAAGTGCCCTTCGTTGTAGACACGTCTCTGAAACGTGCCATCCTCAGGCAGCAATGGAGGAATTATCAAGAACAGGTATATACTTTTTGTAGCACATTGAAATCGATATATAAATACCGCTCATGTGAGACACGAAGAGTGGTCTTCACAGCAGGTGGATTTTATGTACAGGTTCATTTAGCACCATTTTAATAACAAATACTATTCAGAGAAAACAGAAAATTGGGTCGTTATAGACAGGTGGTCACTTAAGCATGTTTCACCCTATTTTTATTTTATTTGAAGCAATTGACCAACCATGATATATTGGATTAATGACACGGATTACATAACCTGTGAAAACACAATCGTTACTTTTTTTTTAAATTAGACGAGGGAAAAATCCTTGCTTATAATTCCATTTGATACATGGGCTCTATTTAGACATAATGTATGTATTTGATTTCTAAATCGTTGTAGAAAATCACTATTATTGCACTTGTATTATACGGTACGGCCACGTTATTATCCTCGAAAATTTATATTTTGAGATTCCGTTTGGTAGTTAGTAATTTTATCCGCTTCAACAAACATAATGTATTATTTGAATTCATCATAGCTTTACTTTTGATCTTTATAATATAGTTTATCTGCGACTAATTTGAAATCTCCCTTCGGCTCTATTCAAGCGTCTTTTGATGGCGATGCCTTCCCACCCTCATTTTTGATTTTGTTTTCTTGTTGTTGGACTCACCTTCCCCTATTCCCACCCTCCACCATATTGGTCCGGTGGTGTTTCTATGCTGAAATTCATAACTTTATTGATAGGTAGGTAAGGTTATTTAGCTCCCTAAACCAAGATATATATATATATATATATATATATATATATATAATATTACCGCGCTCCTAAAATTGTTAAATATATTTGTTTACCATACATGGACAATTTTGACTGCTTTTTGTAGAATTACGTATTTTTGATCTTCAAAAAAAATCTGTCGGCAATCTATAATATTTCATTAATGACCGTTACAGTGTGGTAGGAACTTTTAATTGTATTTGGTGGAAAAAGCTTCTGTTATATTTGTGTACAAATTTGTCGTTCATTCGTTCGGGCGTTTGGAATCATCCCTTCGTCATTCTACCGATATTCCCATTGGTAGTTCGTATACTTCCTTGCACCACACGACCAGGGTCACATTATCTTAAAGCTCTTCTTGTAGCTACTTGCTCCCTCTATATAGAAAACTTCCCCAATCGGTGCCTGTTGGTCCCCCATGATCCTCTTTTTCTTATGTTAGTTGAGAGCTGAGTTGATGAGATAGCCACCTGTCAGTGACCTCGCTGTGTGGTATAATCCCTTTTGGCCCAGTAGTATTGACGGTCTTTAAAAACGGGGTTTATTATTTTGTCAGAGCATGAGTGGTAAAAACATGCTGAGTCATGCTTACGGTGTGTGGTTATAACGGTACCTATAGGGTCGTATGACAGGTGAATAATGTTGCTAACTCTTGTCTCAATCTCCTATTTCCCATATCCTGATTAAGACATCCTTCCCGTTTCAATTATAAATACATTATCATTCCTCTTGCCAGACCTTATAGGAGTATTTCGGAGAAGCGTATTTTACCTGCATTGGAATAGGTTCCCGAGATACGACAGCTACTGAAGGGCGGGGTTAAGGTTTAAAAGGTTGACATTTCAACAAACTTTGATATCATATCATAACGTAAAGTATAATTATTGATTAAACTATCGAAAGGATAAACAAGAAATTCGCCGGTGGATAATATTAGGGGAAGATCTAGCTTTTTCCAAGGGGGGGGGGGGGTTTGACCCAGTAGCGGATCCAGGATTTTCCAAAAATCCCGCCGTTTTACTGTTTTCTTTTCCCCCCTTTATTCCCCCCCCCCCCCCCCTAGATCCGCCCCTGGTATATTTACACAAATTCGTTTGTACTTATTAATACTTAAGTCTGCCAGCAAGATATAATAGGTTATATATTGTGAGAATTTTCTTTAAGATGTGATCTGTGGCTCGAAGTAACCCGCAACCCCTTACTATTGCCGTATTTGTTACGTAACAATGCACTGTTAATTAATTTGATTAATTGCTTTTCCTATTGACTTGGAATGGACAAGGTTGAGGAAATGAGGGCAAGGGGAAGATTAAGAAAGATCAAATTCTCAACAAATTGTAGTGAGAGACCAATTTGATTTTGTCAAATATAGATCAAAATTAATAGAAGCAATAATATTGTGATATCACTATGAACATTACTGACAAAGAAAGCGGACAAAATATACAGTTCCTAAGGTAGACAAAGGAACATCCCTCTCTGCTATTATGTAAAAATGTGTAGAACAGGTGTCACATGCATATTCACCTTTTTACATAATAGCAGTGAAGGGATGTTCCTTTGTCTACCTGAGGAACTGTATATTTTGTCCGCTTTCTTTGTCAGTCATGTTCATAGTGTATAGAGCTTAATGTTTGCCCTTGAGAAGGGGATATTCAATGTACATATTAGTTCACTGATATTAATAATGGCCTATGAGAGCAAGTAAACCTCTCTCCGTGCTGCACTTTTACATCATTGTTTCTCTTCTCTCACGTCAACTTGTATCAACATCTTTCTTTCTCTCTCTCTCTCTTTCTCTCTCTCTCCCCCTCTCTCTGTCTGTCTGTCTCTCTCTCTCTCTCCTCCCCACCACACCCCTCTCTCTCTCCCCCACACCTCCATCTCAATCTTTTCGTTCCCCATGTGGCATGGACCTTTCTCTGTCTGTCTCTCTGTCTCCACCTCTCTATTTCCTGTCCATTTCTACACGTCTACCATGATGCCCATGTCCGTCCCAGTAGGATTGTCTTGTTCGATTGTTTCCTCTATAATGACATGTCTCTCTGTGTCTTTGTCTGCTTGTCTCCCCTCTCTCCCTGGCGGTCTCAATGTCTCTATCCTGCCCCCTCTATCTCTCAATTTCAGTTCCCCTGTCTGTCTCTGGCTCCGTATATTGCTCCCCAACCCCTCATTCTCTTCCTCTCGTTCTACCCTATACACAAACACTTCCTCCCCCTCTCTAACCGACACAAACATCCTCACCTTCATCTAGCTCCTATCTCTCTCTCTCTCTCTCTCTGTGAGCTTTTCTGTTTTTCCATCGTCTAGTATGTTCTTAGTTAATGGAAGTTGATATGGAAGTTGATATTTCTTTCTTCATTTCCTTCTTTCTTTATTGATTCCTGCCATAATTTTTCTTAATTATTTGCTTTTCTAAAATAACTTTCTCTCCACTCTTCATGTCCATCTCACGCTCTCTCCTTCTCTCTCACACACTCTATCTCTCTCTTTCTCTCTCTCTCTCTCTCTCTCTCTCTCTCTCTCTCTCTCTCTCTCTCATACACACTTTCTCTGTCCCATCTTTATCCTTTGACACATTTTTTTTTGTAATAATCTTCTTTCACGCTCTCTATACCCATCGTCAATTTTCATTCCCAGGCGAATATATCTTTTACTTTGAGACTTTAAGATTATTTCATCTCTACACTTGCCAAAGAAATGACTCACACGTTGATCGTCGCAACTGTTGTCGCGACCTACCCCCGCCCCTCCCCCGCCCCTCCCCCTTTCCTCTCTCGGGCCTTTTTACCCCCTCCTCTCATGTCCAACCCCTTCTCGTTTGCCCATGAACTACTTCCGGGTGGCATGGTGCGCAGGAAATGAGCTATGCTGAGGAAGCCGTTGTCGTGGCAACGTGACAAGTTGCTTTAGGCCACGTTGCAAATTATTGGTGTAACCTCCGAATTTTGCTGTACGAGTTAACAAATAGTGTCACACAACATATACGAAGATATCTTCTATTTTTAAATGATTTCGTAATGAGTCTGTAAGACATTATACAAGACTACAAATAGAATGATAACAATCCCGAATACTAACTATACATTTTTAAAAGTCGAAATGAATTTGAATTTCACCCCCAATTTTACTGATATACTAGCATGTAAATGTATAGACTTACCATTTATAATCTACAATCAGATGAGTTTGCTTATTTCATAATGTAGTCTTCAGACATTTCCCCCTTGAATCTAAACCTCTGTTTAGTGTATGAATGGCGGTGATATATCTTTGAACATATATTTTTTAAATTAATCATTTAAAATTGTGTACGTCAACGTATGCTTAAATGATACATATTATTGTTTTATTCCACACTCTCAGCTATTTAATTTGAACGTCGAGTTAACATAACTCAGTTATGTGACACCCAGCCTAATGCCTGTTCACCCCAAACTTGCACAATTAATACGAATTTCATCCTAACGTAGCTTTTTTGAGAATTTTATCTTGTAATGTCATCTTCCCCATGTATAATTGTTTTCCTCCTTTTAAAATAAAATGAATTTCACGATTCCCCACAATTTCAAGAGCTCTCATTGGCTCTAAGTTTATAACCAATCACCCATTTTGTTTACCACACACACGCACGTGTACCACTGACCTTTGACCCCATATCACAACAATCATGGCTGCCTTTATGGAGGAGTCGTCAGACGACGAACCAAACCCTTTTTCATTCAAGAATTTTTCTCAAAAAAGCTCCCAACCCTTGCCCCAAGCACCTCTACCAGCTGTAGTATCAAGCAGCGATGATTCTGAATCAGGTAATTATGTTTTTTGGTCGGTTCTCTTTGCAGAAAAATGGATTTGGAATGGCGAACGGCGCGAGGGACGAAGACTTTATTCACATTGACGATGTTGATGAAGAAGGCTCGTCGTTTCTGTACGTGCCCTACCGGAAAAGATCGTCTCAGAGTATTTTAGATGAAAGTGATGGAGAGGGGGACGATACAAGACCCTACAGTCATGCAGACAGACACTCGTCGTTCCATGACCCAAATATTATCAGGAGAAGTAAACTGAAAGTTGCAGGTAATTCGGTGGTGAATTGTTGCCAATTCCTTATGATAGCCCCACATGTGTAGTTATTTGTTAGGTTTTTGTTTAAATTGTTACTGTTGATCTGAATTCATGTATTTCCGTTTTTCTTCTATATTTTCTTCTTTAATATTAAACAAAACGGGAGAGATTAGTGTCAAAGTAGCCAACAGGTATCTCACATACCCGATATAGTATATACATTTATATGGCTGCCCTGTAACTTTTTGCAATTTAGACCTAATGAATATTTGAATTTCCAATAATAAATTAATGGGAAAGCCAAGTATTTTTTTTTTTGTCATTGAATATTCAATGTACAGAATGTTCTGATGCATTGTCAGAAAGCACATAAGTTGTCCTTGACCATCATTTCCCCTGCTGTTACACTTTAACAGACTTTTGAAAGCTAACATTTTTAATGTTTGTTTAACAGTTTGAAATGTAACTGAAATATCCTAATGGATTTCTTATGGCTATTTCAGATTTGATATTTTGCTAAAATGAAGTTTTCACTGTTATTATAATTAATCTTGATTTTTAAATTAGTTTGTGGTAAAAATGGAATTTGTATCACTAAATCAGACAATGAATTAAATATTTGTTGATAAGGCCAGACCTACATGTGAATGTTTATATGTATCAATACAAAGTTGTCACTGCTATTCAATCATTTCTAGGTCGATCATCCTGATATGAAGGCCACATTGATCATTGTGACAGTGTGATGTAAATGTGTTGATTGAAATATTGTATTTATGATGATTCAAGTAAACACACAATATATATGTATTTTAAAGACAATGAGGAATATATGAATGCAAAGGAGTTGGTTTCCATGAAATAGGACAAATTTATACTAATAAAAACAAATGAAGAGTTAAGGCCAAAGGTAAAAAAGGGATGGTATGAAAACTCTACACTTTTTATGCATTCATTACGACAGCGCTTTACATACAAATACAAGGCATTGAATATCCCTTGATTTTTGCCTATAAATACACCCCCCCCCCCTCCTTTGCGAGTATATCTAGTCTATAGCCAATGGGTTAAGAAATTAGGACTATCACATGTTCTGTTGATCTGCAGCTGGTTGCAGAATGAAGCGTCTATCCCTGAACCCATATGCGTCAGTGATGATGTCAAGTCTTAGCCCAGCCCCAACACAAAATCCCATCAAGGGTATAGGATTTACTGACACACTACAGAGTGTTCTTTATGTATTTAATGTACATGTACATGTAGTAGCCATTCAAAAGAATATTTGAGTGATTAATTGGATGAAAACTCAGTCATTGCCAAATTGCAATTAATCCTGCTTTAAGCATGCTCCCACGTAGTTCTATCACAGCGTGAACTATTTGATGCAGAACTGTGTGCTATACTCATTATGGTGCAGTTTGCAATGCATTTGCATGGGTGAATGCTGTTCGAGGAGCTGAGAGAGACTAAGATCATGTTTACCTTACTGTCACCTTGTAGGGGATGTTGTCAATATCCAAAGTTTATTGGTGAGCTACCAGTCTTAATCTCTATGATTAGTAGAATTTTCTTGTGTTTTATTAACTTTCATAATCCATAATTATTTATCAAGGAAACAAGATTTCTGGCAGTAGACAACTTTAGATTTGTGTGTAATCATACTAATATTTTCTTTGTCTGTTTTTCTTTGAGAGTACCTAACTTGATTAATTTTATAGGAAAGGTTCTTATTAAAATTTACAATTGCCTCTAGAAGTCTATGACCAGTAGGTCAACAATTATGAAAAATCTAATTATCTATTTTCTTATATAAGATTTTAAAAAAACTTTGCTTGATGATATATTTATTTGTGTGTTTCTAACCTTTTATTTTCTTTGATATCAATATATTTTTTATACCGATTTCTTTTGGTATGGCAAGCTGTCTGTCATGATGTGGAAATTACGATTCATTTCCTTTTTTTTTATCACAATACATTCACGTTGATATTGTACGTTGGCCAAATAGGTCAGGTCACTTTGTTTCAAGTGCCAGCAACGGATATGAAGCCTATTGATTTTCTGAAATCTTTGGATAATATGCATATAATTATTCAGCTTCTAAAATCTGTATTAGATATAATGTATGATATATATTTCTGACAGTTGTATTAGCTTGCTGACACATATTGTAGAATGCATACAACCATAGTACACTACCGGTATATCCACTAATGAGTAGAATTTGCAAAAGATATGTATTTATCAGTCTATGTGTACTTGATTTTTTTTTTTGCAGTACAAAATTAAGCATGTGGAACATAACCAGTTCTCTCATATTATGTAGTTTAATGTCACTTTATTAACAACTATCATTATCAACAAAGGAAGCCATATACAGCATGTACAGTTGAACAAAAATATAAAAAATAGAGAAAAGCACAAGCCATGTTCTATCATTGAGTATGCAGGCTATCGCCTCTAACGTTTCATTCCACCGACAAATATAAAATAGATCTCTTGAATGAAAAGTCCAGTAAAATTTCTGTAAACAAGTTGCTTTTCCAAATGGAAACTATTTCTATGTGTAATATTTTGCTAGTATAGCCCACGGGCCCGTTTCTCTAAACAGTCATAAGTCTAACTTCTTAGACATCCCATTGAAATGTGTGTTATAGAATTAACATGCGTTTCTATGGGATGTCCACAAACTTAGACTTATGACGGTTTCGAGAAACTGGCCCCATATCACCAACATAAAGAAAGTCTCATTGCGTTTAAAGAAAGAGTTCTAAGTGATAACAGACTTCTCTCATGTTTTCTAACTATGACAGAATCTCCAACTGAGGAGGTTGGGAAAGATGGCAAGAACCCGTTCTCCTTCAAGTCCTTCATCAAGAAAGAGAAGAGAAAAGCTGTCTATTATTCATCTAGGGAGCAACTGGATAGCTCAGGAATGGAGGAGGAGGATTTGGTAAAACTTGCATGAAATTTCTTTCTAAATGTAATCAGAAAGACTTTCAACTAATCAACCTAAGGCCAATTTCAGTAGCCTTGTAGATCTAGAGTTGATTTCTTAGAAGTCTTGCAGTTGTGCTCATAATTTTTCTTTATTAGTAGTCACATCTGCCTGTCTGTCCACCCCCTTCCATCTTTCTCCCTTCCTCCCTCTATCTCTATCTGTCTATCCATCTCTGTGTATCTTTCTGTCTGTCTGTCTTCCTCTCTCTCTTTGTCTCTCTCTTTGTCTCTGTCTCCCTTCCTCCCACTTCCTGTCTCTTAGTCTCCCTGCTCTGTTTCGTTCTTTCTATTTAGGTTGCCAGAGATTTCGATATGCCCATTCTCTCCTGTCATCATTCTCCATTCTCTACCCATTTCCTAATTGTGTTGTTTGCATGATTAATACCGTATATACTTTTTACTCACTGCTTTACATTAATGCCACTTCTCAGATGATTGCCAATATACTAGGGTGTGACATGGGGCCATTTTAGAGGCATGTTGGTGTCTCTCTTCTGGATGTAATCTCAAACATTAGGGGCCTGTGTCATAAAACTTGTTATCTATAACAATTGCTCAATTTCTATGACAAACTTGCTCTCAGCTAATCAGATGACATGATTTAAATAGCTTATAACAGTAGCTTGTAACTTGCTATTGATATCAAGTTTGCTCTCAGCCAATCAGATGCCATGATTTCAGTAGCTTATAACAGTAGCTTGTAACTTGCTATTGATATTAAGTTTTATGAAACAGGGCCCTGAACTGTGTTTGATTAGAACCCACAAACACCCTTACCGTATAACAAATACCCTTAACTGTTAAAACCCATCAGTAGTTTACAGCTAAAGATGACAGTTCTAGATTTTATCATTACCGTTGAGGCAGCTGGATTATGGCCTGTAGAAAGAAAATATATCCCTCAGGTGATACCACGTAAGGACTTCTAAAACAGATCTGTTGTTGTTTAGCGTCTCAAGGCTTTACCATGACTCACCAATAAGCAAAGGATCAACAGATTGCGTTTTACAGGATTTCAATGTCGGCCATGACCTCCTGTCACAGGTGTGCCTTTGAGGGCTGGATGCAACGTCTCTCTCGCTTCTGTCAGCGTCGATGTCTATTTCCAGTGTCTGTCCAGCAGCCATGACTGGTCAGATATATTTTCAAAGGGTCAGTCTTGTATTTCTTTCAAAGTTGGTTGCACGCAAGAAAGATCTTCTTGGCATGGTTTCATGATTTCATATAAAATGCATTTTATGATGTGTTTAATAGAGATCTGCAGGGATCAAAAGCAGACTGCTGTCTGTTTTCTAAAGACTCTCTCCTCATTTTGTGTAACTTTGTCTCCATAAGACTTTCAGAGGCTCAGTCTTGACTTTTAAAATAGCCACAGACATCATATCTTGTAAGAATGACTTGACCATCGTGCAAGGAAATAATTTGACATTTACTTTCTTTGTAGGCTCATAGCAGACTTTAGATTTACGACCTAATGTGACCACATATAGGGTAATAACTTGTCTCAGAGAAAGGATTTAGGGGGAAGAGTGTCTTAAACTCGTTATAAACATGCAGATGTATGAGGAAAACATGCATCTTGAAAAAATAGGTATGAACGAATCGTCACATACATCACAGTCACTTGACTGCATTGCCAATTTGAGACTTGCATAGTTGAACCATATTGACAGCTATTAAATACTTCAAGATGTGATGGATTGTGATTTGTGTATGAAAGACAACAGTTGTAAAAGCAGAAAGATTCAAAACAACTCTCTGTAGGAAATTAAGCAAAGCAGTTCAAGGCTACATTACAATTTACGTTTACTATTTGCATGAGACAAGTATCTGTACCCTGTACACAATAGCACAATAGACATAGGCATGTTTGAGCCAAAAGATCAATTACCTCCCACACCTCAAATTAATTTTTTAATCCCTATGCCTTGAGTTTCATCAAGCCAACATGCTTTGCAAAGTAGAACTGATTATCACCTCCTGGTTAGTGAAAGGGGTGAATATTATTTGTAATGAACACTTAACATGTATATACAAACAAAATTGCATTGTATTAAAGCCATTCTGTACTAGAAGCACTACCGCAGAAACCCCTCTGGCGCTATCTCAGGTCAGCTGTAGCGGTATGGTCCCTTAACTCGCTGCTTCCCTGGCTGCGATGTTTGTTTTTGCATCGGGTCCTCTCAGGCCTGGGTCCTCTATCTACGAAGTTGAAATTAGGTACTGGGTTATACAATGTTGGGAAGTTGACCTTGAGTTTGCACTGTACAATAAACAGTACCCTAAGGCAGAAAGTTAATCATCTCCTTTTAACAATTTTGTATTTATCCCAAGGAAATCATCACAGTATTGCTGTAAGTGGAGGAGAGGCTAGTTTTCATACTTTCCAAAAACATATATCATTCTCTCAATCTTAGTATAAGCTTTTTTGTATTTTCTCCAAGGGAATGTTGTTTGTATTATAAGAAACAAATCTTATGAATGAGCTACATTGATTCAATGTGGTATCTGTAGTCACCTGTCACTACAAGCAAATTGAAAATGCTTCAAGAATGAAGATATTGCATTACAACTATGTGACCTATTGGTAAATCTCCTACAATATTATCTTAACAGATGTCAGGGATAAACAAAGTTGATCAAGGAAAGATACTTCCAAACCATTGAAAGTATAAAAATCTTTTTACTTTCAAGCACATGTTCATGCTAGATTGTCCCTTTAAATAATTTCCAAAGTGGTTCAGGAATCGCTACCCTGGCTTTAACTTCAAGCATCCATGATAGGGCACAGGGTCTTTGGGCTGCTGTAGTATAAAGATCATTTTATTTTTAAGCACAAGTATATGCTAAATTGTCCCTTAAAATACTTTCAATCGTGGTTCAGGAATCGTTACCCTGGCTTTATCTACAAGCATCCATGACAGGGCCAAGAGTCTTCGGGCTGCTGCAGTATGCCGTCCTTACAAAAACCAATGCCACCCCAAGAAACGGGCTAGAGGCCTGTCCTATGACGTCTTTCTGAGGTTGTTATGCAACAGCTGCATGTGTTCTGCTTACAGGGAATTGTGATTCATCGTCCGTTCGCAAACTTAATCCCAAGATGAGAGAGAGAGAGAGAGAGAAAGAGAGAGAAAGATAGTAATTCATTCTGTCTTCTAAGAAAAACAAAGCTTGACGCATTGTTTATGCGATAGCAAGGAGAAGTGGGTGGGGTTCTAAGATTTTCATTTTTTTCTAATCAACTGTCTTTCCTGACAAGCTTGTCTTCAGGGTGTCTTTCTTGTTGAGTATTCATTTAATCATATTTGATTAATAAAGGACTAATAACTATTAAAGTTCATGTTTAAGAAAAAACACAATATGACTCAAGTTAATATTTGTTTTCAGAAACAACATTTTCTAGATGTTTTGAAAGTTTGATGGCAACTTATTGTCCAAGATTGAATTTCACAGTCAGAATTCATTCTGATGTAAAAGTTTTAGGTCATTTCTCTCTCTATCTCTATTGTTTTCTTTCTCCTGACTGTCTCTCGCTCCTTCTTTTTAACATTATCCAAGCTACATGTAGGGAGAAATCTTGTGTAAATTTCTAGTGTTTAACTTTTCTAACTTTATACATGTTTGTTGCATAGAACAATTGATTTTTCTTGTTCCTTATCCCCTATCCGCTACTCATACACGGATACAAGTGCGATTCATGAGTGACAGTGCGTTCTGCACAACTGATTGCCCAAACTCTTACCTCTTTGAATCACAAGAGGGAGCTATAGAAGGTTCCAGCTGTGTAGGGATTGATCTGGAGGTGTTCGGGATCCAAATGGTTAAATGAACTACTTGCACGTGACACATGCGACCTAATGATCATTACACAAGTAAATTATCAAGCTTCTTGGTCATACTATAAGAGTACTTGGTGAAGGTTTATATCTGAAACTTAAAGCCTATTAATTTTTTTTTATTCAACACAAAGTCCTACAAATCTTGCATTTACAGCCAATTAGCAATAAACCAAGATGTCATTTGTTGAAAGCCAGAAGGGCATTAAAAAAAAAGATTTATGGCCTTCTGGCTCTGAGTCGAGTTGACAATATATTCTACTTTTAATTTCTTTTGACTTTGCAAAAAAAAAAAAAAAAATTGATTACATGGGATGATCACTATTAATCTTCTATCTTTTTCCCAAGTTACACCGATTGAATGAAAGGAAAGTTTAGTCATGGTCGAGGGGTATCCTGTAAATCTACTTTGAGTCCTCATCTCTATCTTAACACAAGAGGGAGCTGTAAAAAGTTTTGTACAATATTGCACAGAGCCACAGACCTATCTTATTGACAACTTCAGAACAGAACGGACAAATCAATGCATACAAAACGCCATATCGATTCACTTCATTCCAGAACATCAAATTGAGAAGTTGTTTATTTTAGGTCCCATTGTCTTGCTGTTTATTTCATTGTATAACCAACTTTCAAACCAGTCAACAAGCAAATTACAAATTGAACTGTAGCTACAATTTAGAGAAGTATCAAATCAAAGTTTTTAGAAGAAAGTGACAAAATCTAGAGGCTTATCAAGTGACTTGAACGATTGAAACATTTTTTTAATAACATAAAGGTTACTGCTTACTAGGAGTTGGTTTTAGCTGTTCTACCAATGATGTTTAGTATAGCAGAACTGGGAATTCATTCTGAATGAAATAGAAGATGATAGGAATCTATTGATAGTATTTAGAATTGAGGGTATACCTATATACTAGAAGAAGATATGAATATATTTTGTTGCTATTAATAATTACAGGGGAGGGGAAGGAAAGGGTGTGGAATGAACATAAAAATGGTTAGATTAGATTGAGATTTGAGAGAAGATATCTAATCAGTAAAAAAAGAAAAATAGTGAGAAAGAAGAACATGACTCTGTTTTTATCATGTGGCAGGAAAACCTTAGGTTTGGCAACTCTTTGCGGAACACCCAAACCTAGACAAAACCACAAATGTACCGAAGTCATGACCAACGTTACAGAAAAAGCATGATGGAGAGGATGAATCATCCACAGTTTCCTGATACATTTAGACCTCTCCTGTGGCTTAAAGGTTATACCAGGAAGCTGTAATGAATGGAGATACCGTCTCGAAAGAATTTTCCGAGGGAAAATTATTCAAGATTAACCTGGCTTAAC